AGGGGGATCTTGTAGAAACATGTAAAATCCTGATGGGACTGGACAGGCTAGATGCAGGAAGAATGTTCCTGATATTGGGGAAGTCCAGAACAAGGGGTCAAAATCTAAGAAAAAGGGATAAGCCATTCAGGACTGAGCTGAGGAAGAATTTTTTCACTCAGAGAGTTGTGAACCTGGGAATTGTCTCCCACAGGAAGTTGTTGGAGCCAGTTCGTTGGATATATTCAAAGGGGGCTGGCCCTTGCAACTAAAGAGGTCAAGAGGTATGGAGAGTGAGTGCAATGGGATACTGAGATTGCATGATCAGCCATCATTATATTGAACGGTGGTGCAGGCTCAAAGGTCTGAATGGCCTACCCCTGCACCTATTTTCTATGTTTCTATAAACAGACTCGAGGGGCCATGATCTAACTGAATGAAGAACAGTTTATTGGGGAGGCAATTGCCTCGTGTTATTATTGCTAGACTGTTTATCCAGAAGCTTAGTAATGTTCTGGGGACCTGGGTTGAAATCCTGCCATGGTTGGTACTGGAATTTGAATTCAATAAAGATTCTATAATTAGGGATCTAATGGTAACCATAAAGTCAACATCGATTATCATAAAAACCCATCTAGCTCACTAATGTCCTTCAGGGAAGGAAATCTGCCATCCTTACCTTGTCTGGCCTACATGTGACTCCAGGCCTACTGCATTGTGGTTGACTCTTAACTGCCCTCTGGGCAATTAGGGATGGGTGATAAATGCTGGCGCAACCAAAGACACCCACATCCCGTGAATGAATTTTAAAAACAAAATCTCGTGGGGCAATGATCTAACTGAATGATAAACAGACTGGTGTTACTGCCCATTATTATGTTCTGAGCTCCCAGGAATGTGCCTTCAGCACTTCCCTTTACTCTTCTCCACTTTCACCAAGAAAATACTATTCAAACAGGAGACTGTCAGGTGCAGTGTCTCAGATGTGATGCTCTCTGAGAAGCCCATTTTAAAACTGGTCTCAATCAAGACGTATGATCATCAGGTACCTGTGACAACTACACTAAGAAAGAAATGCCTTTTGTTGCTGATTATATTTGCAAACCCAGCAAGATAAGTGTGTCTAATTATTGGTATGTTCCAAGTTGGTGCTGAAAATCATATTATTGAGAAAAAATCCAAATTTACTTGCCAAATAATCAGTACCCTCTCTGTATGGAATATAAATTGTTTTCAATTATCAGTTTGTATTGATTTCCCTGATGTTCCCTTAGTCAGACTTTTGCCTCTGAGGCAGAACATTGTGGCTTCAAGTTACCCTGTGACACCCCAATGCAGTAGGAAGGGAGTGCCACACTGCTGTGGTTGAAGTGGGGGGAGAGTATCTCATAGACAGATCTCACAGTATTTTGTAAAGAACAGCAAACAGTGTTTTGGTTTAGAATTATCCTTCAACCAACAGATAAAATGAGATTATCTGGCCATTATCTCATTGCTATTTGCAAGGTCTTGCTATGTGCAAATTGAGTGCTGCACATCAGGGTGGCTTGAAGCTCTGAAAGAAGCTACAGAATTGCAAAGTCTTTTATTTTCTTTCACATGTGTCCTCACTGCCCTGTTGAAGGAAGGACGACAGAGGTCAACCAGTGTGGCAGGGTGGCTCAGTGGTTAGCACTGCTGCTTCACAGCACCAGGGATCTGGGTTCGATCGCAACGTTGAGTGACTGTCTGTGTACAAATTCTCCCTGTGAGTTTCCCCCATGTGCATATTAGGTGGATTGGCCATGCTAAATTGGCTATTGCATCTAGGGATGTGCAGGCTGTGTGGATTAGCCACAGGAAATGCAGGGTGATAGGGTAGGGGGTGGATCTGGGTAGGATGCTCATTGGAGGTTGGTGTGGACTCGGTGGGCTAAATGGCCTGTTTCTACAATGTAGGGAGTCTATGATTCAGTATCCCTCTTGGAAACATTGCACATTTGAAAGATTTTTTCACATGAAAAATGAATAAAGACTGGAGGAACATAGCAGAGGTTCCCCTGCACGGATTGAATGGTAAAATCCATTGAGTCAGGAGAGCAGAGGTTAAAATTTAAGACAAAGTCAATGGGGTGGGATGGGATTGGGGGGGTGAATTGATGAAGGATAACCAACCACAAGGAGACCTCAGCACAAAACAGCACATCAGGTTTTTCCATGTAATCCTCATTCTTTAATCGTGAGGCCACATTAATCTCCTGATATTTTATTTCAGGTACAGATGCAATAAATAGCGATCCTTATAATAGTCATAAAAATTATTTTCATACACTTTACACTGTATATAAATGAATCAAGCTGCCACTGGAAACTATTTTCCAAGCCATGGTTTTTGAATGATGACTGAGATGGTAAACCTGAGGGCAATCTGGCCTGTTGGTTCCAATGATAGCAAGCCACAGAATGACTCTATCAGTCCAATTCCAAACCAACCCGTTCAAGTCCTTTCAGTGTTTGTTTTTCAGTCTCCTTAATCGAGGTGCTGACCATTGCGTCAGTTCTCAGACCAAAATAACTCCTTTAATACATCAGTGTCCATTTTTATACCTCTTTTCATGCTGATCTCAGAAATGAACCTTTTATGCCACTGGTTCTTAGTATCTTTCATTGTATTTTTAAGCACTATCATTATTTCCTCAGGGGTTCTTCCCTGCATCTGTCCAGAACAGAATTAGGACAACAGTGTGTCCAACATTATCTCAGAACTTATCGACAATTGGCCTCCATTTTAGAACGGCCTTCTTGTAGTAATCAAGATGGCGGAAGAGCAGCAGTGCTGCATTCAGGCTCCAGGCTTGGGGTTCTCTGTTGCTGTCTGCATTCTTTGTTTCTTTCTTTTACTTTTGCTCTTTGTTTTTGCTTTTTTTTCTTTCTTTTTCTCTTTAAAAGCCTTTCTTGGTGTCTTTGCCAGGGCAAGAATAGGCTCGGCCTCCTGAGCATGTGCAGCAGCGACGGCAACAGAGTTGGCTCCTCCCAGTGATTGGAGGTGGCAACAGGGGTGGCTTGTTCCAGTGATCAGTGGTGGCAGCAAAGGTGATCAATGGAGCATGCCCCAGGAGGAGGCTGACTGAAACTCCAGGCCAGGGCCAGGCCCAGGGAGATAAGACTTTAAAATCTGGACTTTCTCCTTGTCCTTTGGATAAGGACGTTAAGATCTGGATGCTTTTTTCTCTTTTTTAGGCTCTGCTTCTTTTATTTCTTCTATTGCATTTTTTAAAATTCCGGTTTTGTATTTCAAGATGGCGCTGTAGAATGGTGACTTTGTACACTTTTCATTGTACTTCTGTTCCTGAGTACACATGACAATAAAATCTAAAATCTAATTCCAGTTCTGAAGATACAGCGACAAGAATCTTCCACTTTTCATACTGTAACCTTTCTAGCAATCACCATTTATTGGACGCCTTCCCAGTTAGCCCATTGATCACCTTTGGAACATGCCTAGAGTACAGCCTGTTCCTGAGGGTCATTCCCAAGACATCCACAGTGGAATCTTCCCTCCCAACAGCTCAGCAATGTTTATCACACTGTAATATTTGGTTATCCTGGCTGGCAGTATTTCCATGGGAGAACATTTTCCTTTGAGGACAGTTGGTCAGTGATTCCACTGACTCATTACCGATCTATCCGTTACAAATGGTCCTGAAACATGTGCTTGCCTGTTGTATTTGCAGAGGACCTTGTCGAACGAAAGGCTCTTTATGCAGTTTAAAATTACACACAGAATTGACCTCTTTTTCCTTGAACTCCACTATCCCACAGCTTCAACATAACTGGGCAAACTTGAAATTAGCTATCAATATAAACAGATAAAAAAGAAATCTCTCGAGTTAAAAAGTCATTAACAAAGCTCGATAGGCAAGCAATAACATCTTCCTCTTAATCCAGCCTTGATTTATCATTGATCACATTAATGTAAATAATAAAAATTGAAAGGAGATAATGCGACTGAAATGAAAATTGTACATATTTTTACAGATACTGTACAAATTATTTTTCTGAATTAAATCTAAACACTATCAAAGAGAAGAGGGTCAAAAAAGAATGGGGGACATTTCAGCAGCACAGACTGGAGACAAAATGCTCGACAGAGATCTGTGTTTTTTTTTGTCTTTGAGGGATCCTCAGTGAAGGGTCAAGGGTCACCACCAAGCTTGGGGAAAAAGACAAGTGCAAAGTCGTCATTTGGTGACGTGAAGTTTGGCTTTAAAGAGCTTCAAGAGAAAGCAAGGAAAGGCTGATAGTTGAAGGAAGGTCAAAGAAGAAATCAAACCATCCCGAGGCAGACTGGAGGGAGAAGCTTAGTGTTGCCACTTGACCATTTCTTTGTGAATTGACACCAATTGCACTGCAGGGTTAGGAATGGGAGAGGGGTGTAGGTAACAGGAGGGAGAGGGAGTCAGATTTCAGCCAATACATTTTATCATTATTGGATAAAACTCTTACATAAATGTCAAATTGCTTCCAACACTCCCAGTGTTGTAAACAGTACGTCACTCCAGTACTTTACAGTTCAACATACACTTGCAGCAGAGAATAACATCTAGTGTGGAAGGTTACAATTTAGAATTGCATTACTGGGTTGTTTTCACAGTTCAAGCAAGCACAGTCTATATATAAGATATACATATAAAAAAAATGACCCCTTCCCCCCACCGTTACCCATACAACTCCAGCCAGCACTGTGTGCCTCTCTGTGGATGCGAGCATCCGAATCTGGATCAAAACCAAATGCCACAGAAAGTAAGATTTTTTTCATGGTCTCTATCAAGCTTTTAAACTACAGCCTAGCTGCAGGCCAACAAGAGGGGCCTATCGTTTTCAGGATGCTGATGAGAAATGGCCATTTTATAAATAACCCTGACAAACACACACACACAAACACACACACACACACACACACACACACACACACACAAACGCATACACACAGAGCCACGCCCAGTTTCCCGTTAAATATAGGTCAATTCAGAGCAGTTCCTTTCATGAGTATAAAAATAAAGTATCTTTAGTTTTCAAAAAAAAACCCCAAACACAAATATTTATCCGAGGCAGCCAGCAGGCTGATAGAGGTCCCCCAGGTCCTAGCTGGTCTTGTGGTGACGAGCTCGTTTAGTCCTTTTAGTGACTGTGGTGTATTTGAAAGGTCTATGGTGCTCCCCTTTGTCTTTGGGGGGTCTTTTCATGAAATGGGCCTCCCTCTGGTTCTGCTCGGTTTTTGATCCTTTTCTGGGCCGTCCTTTCCTGGTGAAGCCTAGGTACCAGCCCTTGTACTTGGCAGACATCAGAGCGGTGTAGTTATTTTCTAGGACCTCTTCCACAAACACACACTCCCGGCTCTTCCCATTGAGCTGCAGAAGGGCAATAAAATAAAAGTCGCATATGATATTCATAGAATCTTTACATTGCACAAAGAGGCCATTTGGCCCATCGAGTCTGCACCAACCCTCCAAAGAGCATTCCACCCAGACCTATTCCTGTAACACCACGTTTGCTAATCCACCTAACCTGCACATCCCTGGACATTACAGGCACTGAACCTGCACATCTTTGGACTGTAAGAGGCAACCAGAACACCCAAAGGAAACCCACACAGACACAGGGACAACACGCAAACTCTACACAGACAGTCACCCAAGGCTGGGATTGAACCCGGATCCTCGACGTTTTCAGCCATCGTGCCACCCAAGTATTTATCTCGCCACGCTGCAAAAGAATATTCACAGTGTCTGCTGAGGTAAGGAAAACATTAAGTTAATTTTCCCTTGACTGTTGGAGGCTGAGGAGTGATATTATAGAGGTTTATTACATCATGAGGGGCATGGGTGGAGTGATTAGTCAAGGTCATTTTCCCCAGAATAGGGGAATCCAAAACTACAGGACATACATCTAAGGTGAGAGTGAAAAGATATAAAAGGGACCTAAAGGGCAACTTTTTCATGCAGACGGTGGTGTGTGTATGGAATGAGCTGCCAGAGGAAGTGGTGGAGGCTGGTACAACTACAACATTTAAAAGGCATATCATGGGTATATGAATAGGAGGGATATGGGCCAAATGCTGGCAATTGGGACTAGGTTAATTTAGGATATCTGGTTGGCATGGACGAGTTGGATGAAAGGGTCTGTTTCCGTGCTGTACATCTCTATGATTCTATGTCTCTAATTAAACAAACATCTTACTGTAATTTTATCTTGCTATGCGGCTACAAAAGAGTAAGATCATGTGTCATTGAATGACTTCCTGTGATGATGTACCCTGGGTCTTATTAACATATCAGACAGTCACAACTAACCCCTTATACAAGATCACATCACAGAAAGCTGGAGAATTGAAATGGACATTGGTCCTCAAAAGCAACTAAAGTATCATAAACAAATACAGAAAGGGTTGGAGAAATTCAGCAGATCTGACAACATCTGTGGAGAGAGATGTTTCTAGTCTGATATGACTCTTCTTCAGAAATTAAGAAGGTTCTAGAGAAGTCATCCCATTCTCAAAACAGTAACTGTTTTTCTGTCTCCAACGATGCTGCCAGACCTGCTGAATTTCTCCAGTGTACTCTGTACTTGATCCAAATTTACAGCATCCACAGTATTTTGCCTTTGACACTACCATAAAATCGGGCCATCATGGGCAGGCATTGTGGTCACTGCTCTAGCAATCCAGAACTCCAAGATTATGCTCTAAGTACGTACGTTTGAATTCCCTCATGGTAAATGGTCAAATTTGAATCTAATACAAGTCTGGAATTAAAATTCTAATGATAACCAGGAAACCACTGTTGTGAAAACCCATCTGGTTCACTAATGTGCTTTAGGGAAGGAAATCAGTGGTCCTTACCTGATCGGGCCTACATGTGACTCCAGACCGACAGCAATATGGTTGACTCTCAACTGCCCTCTCAAACAGCTCCAGCAAGCAGATCAAGAAGCAATTAGGGCTGGGCAAGGTGGTGATGGAGAGTTGCTTTTCGGACTGGAGGCCAGTGACCAATGACTGATGTGCCACAAGGATCAGAGCTGGGTCTACCGATTTCATCATTTGTATCAATGATTTGGATGTGAATATAGGAGGTACAGTGAGTAAGCTTGCAGATGAAACCAAAATAGGTGGTGCAGTGGACAATGAAGAAAATTATCTCAGAGTATGACAGGACCTTGATCAGATGGGCCAATGGGCTGGGGAGTGGCAGATGGAATTTAATTTAGATAAATGTGAGGTGTTGCATTTTGGAAAGGCAAATCAGGGCAGGACTTACACACTTAATGGTAGGATACTGGGGAGTGTTGTCGAACAAAGAGACCTAGGGGTACAAGTGCATAGTCCCTTGAAGGTGGAGTTGCAGGTTGAAAGGGTGGTGAAGATGGCATTTGGTACGCTTTCTTTCATTGGTCAGAATATTGAGTATAGGAGTTGGGACGACATGCTGCAGCTGTACAGGACATTGGTGAGGCCACTTTTAGAATACTGCATACAGTTGTGGTCGGCCTTCTATAGGAAGGATGTTGTTAAACTTGAAAAGGTGCTGAAAAGATTTACAAGGATGTTGCCAGGGGAAAAATTTAAAAGAGACTTACAGGGCAACTTTTTCACACAGAGAGTGGTGCATATATGGAAGGAGCTGCCAGAGGAAGTGGTGGGGGTGGGTACAATTACAACATTTAAAAGGCATCTGGATAGGTGTATGAATAAGAAGGGATGTAGGAGAACTGTTGGTAAACGGGACGATATTAATTTAGGATATCTGGTTGGCATGGATGAATTGGTCCAAAAGGCCTGTTTCCCTGCAGTACAACTCTATGACTCTATAAATGGCCTACCCTACATGTTTAGACTGTGACTGTGACTCGCTTTTGGACCCCCCAGTCATCGGGAACATCCTTCCTGCATTTATCCTGTCTAGTGCTGTTAGACGTTTATATTGACCCCCCTCCTCATTCTTCTAAATTCCAGTTCTAACTGATCCAATCTCTCTTCATATGTCAGTCCTGCTGTCAGAGGTGGGAGTTCTTCCCTGGATGAACAAAATCAATATTATCCTCCTGCCTCCCCACCTCATTAACATCACCAAACCATGGTGATCATCACATTGGGGGAATTTGCTTGTACGGATTGGCTGCCTCTTTTCCTACATTACAACTGTGACCATTGTCACAGCCTGTACAGCATTCTGGGTCATCCTTAGGTCAGGCATGGTGCTATGTGAATGCATGTCTGCAAAACAATACCTTTTTGCTGTATCTCGGTACATGTGACAACAATCAATCAATCAATCAATCCACTCTTTATACATGCTGAGCACTGTGTATCCTTGCTTGGCTCATAGCTCATGTTTTCACCAACTGTCTCTATTTTCTGAACATGGTACCAATGCTGGCTGTACACCACAAGCTCATACTTTGGCTGTAGTGCTGTGTGCTTTAGTTAATTCAAATTTCTCCTTGTTGAACATGGAATCCTTACATTCTACTTTGAGAGCGACTTAGTGGGTGGGTGGGTCCAAGCAGACATTACCCATTATTTGGTTTTTACTAAAGAACCTTTGCTGAATTATGGGTTGGCTTAACTTTGTGTTAATGCTGTGAAACAATTAAATATGCAACTGTAATGGGCCTCACTGATTTTCCTCAAGTCTGCCTCAATGTTTCTCCTTTCTCAAGACATTGCCCCATCTGTTTCTAACCCGTGTGGATGTGAAGGAATCCAAATCAATCTTTCCACTACGTGCAGGTCTCAGTCTGTTTTTTGGAATTGATTGTCCAGATGTGAGAGTCATTGGGAAAGCCATCATTTACTGCTCATCACGAGTTCCTCTGAGAAGGTAATAGTGGGCCTTAGGACCAGAAATCACAAACCCCAGTGCTGTTCCTCGACTGGACCCTTGACCTGAGCATACCTACCACACCACCAACAGGAACACACTGGCCCCAACCCCAAATTGAACTCACTGGTCCCACCCCTGACCCAAGCACAGTGGCCCCACCCCTATCTGGACTACACTAGTCCCACCCCTGACCCAAGCGCATGGTCCCACCCCTCCACCCCCCCAGTTAAGGAGCACAGTGGCCTCTCCCCAATCTGGAACACAGTGACCCTACCCCCAACAGAACACAGTGACCCAACACACAATTGGAGCAAAACTAGCTCCATCCGAACCTGAGCACTCCCAACCAGAGTAAAGCAGAGTCCCAGACCCCTTGTTCTGGGTAATGGTGAGTCTAATTCCTAAGTACTGTTTGATACAACTGAGTGGCTTCTTTGGCCATGTTAGAAAGCAGCTCACAGTCCACTGAATTGGCTTGGGCACTGCAGTTCCACTGAGGCCTATCTTTTACATGATTGTTATGTAATTACTAAGGCCAGCATTTGCTACCAATCCCTAACTACCCTTCAACTGAGTGGCTCGCTTGACCGTGATAGAGGGTCACTCAAAGTGAACTACAATGCTATGGGTCTGGAGTCACAAATAGGCCAGACCAGGTCAGGACAGATTTCCTTCTCATATAGACATGAGAGAAACAGCTGGATTTTCATGATAATTAGTGATGACTTCATGGTCATCTTTACAGAGACATCTTTCAATTCCAGATTTATTAGTTGAATTTAGATTTCATCAGCTTCCATAGGCCTTGGATTACTGGTCTTGTGACATGATCTCCTTTTGGCTTCCTTGAAGAATATTAATAATGAACTAAATAAGACCAGCAAGTGCGGCATGGTGGCTCAGAAGGTAGCAATACTGCCTCACAGCATCAAGAACCCGGGTTAGATTCCACCCTTGGGTGACTCTCTGTGTGGAGTTTGCATGTTTTCCCCGTGTCTGTGCGGGTTTCCTCCAGATGCTCTGGTTTCTTCCCACAGTCCAAAGATGTGCAAGTTAGGTGGATTGACTATGCTAAATTGCCCATAGTGTCCAGGGATGTGTAGGTAAATGGATTCGCCACGGGAGATGTGGGGTTACAGGGATGGGGTGGGTGTGGGCGGGATGATTTTTGAAGGTTCGGTTGTGAACTCAATGGGCCAAAAGGCCTGCTTCCACACTGTAGGGATTCTAAGTGCTGTTCCTGCTGAAGCCCAGCAGAATTGGCAGCATTTGTGGGGAGATGATATTGTGACTGGTCTAATAATGGTGTGGCTATGCTAGTAATCCAAAGACCCATGCTAATGCTCTGGGTCATAGGTTCAAATCTCATCACAGCAACTGGTATGGTCCAGATTCAATTACAATCAGAAAGTAGTGGTGAATACCAAATCCTTCTGCTTTACTAATCGCTGTTCCAAAGGCAATCTACCACCATTATATGGTCTGGCTTTCTCAATGTAACTCCAGAACCACAGCACTAAATTGGC